TTTCCTTGATTTGTATGACTTTGACATTTTTGAAGATTACAGGTTAATTATTGCGTAAAACAGAGCTGCTAGAAATTTGACGCGAGCCACAGAGGTAATTAAAGTTTTCTGGGGGCCACGTTAAAAGAGGTAGAAGGAAACAGGTGTAATTAATATCCCAAATACCGTCATTTTCAACCTGTAACGAATGTAAAAAATGATTCATGAGATCTTTTCCATTTTCTAATATCACGTCTTCAAAATCCAGAATGTATTTTGCACTTGGGACATACCTGAATTGGATGAGCCACATTGTGAGCGCCAAGCCACCCCATGCCCGGTGGCTACTGCTGTTGGCAGGCTGCCCCTCAGTTCGGGCTGGTCTGTGCCTCCTCCCCATTCGGCTCTGGTTATGCTTTCTACTTTTGCAGACGTGATGCAGAAGCAGTGCTCCCTCTGCCTCCTGTCTGGTGGTATAACGATGTCGGTGAAGACGATGTCTGCACTGTAAGGTTATTCCTTCCTGTGTGAGTAAGAAGCATTTTACAGGGCGGTTCTTTGAGACAAAGTAAATATCCCACTTGTACCTGCTGGATTTAGCATCCAGTGGGGTTTCTTCCCTGACTTCATTTATTTTGTAGTGGTTTCCAGCTTGCCGTGAGGTACTGTTCTAGATGCCCCACATCGCATTTTGTAATTCGTGATGCTTCTTACGTGTTCATTTTAGTGGGTTTTTCAATTATCTGTGGTCCTAAGGACAAACTGGGTAAACGATCTCAAATTTTAGTTTAAAACAAATGAAGAGGGGCGCCTGAGTGGCTCAGTCGGTTGAGCGTCTGCCTTCGGCCCAGGTCATGATCTCAGGGTCCTGGGATCGAGCCCTGCGTTGGGCTCCCTGCTCCTCGGGAAGCCTGCTTCTCCCTCTGCCTGCCGCTCTGCCTACTTGTGCTCTTTATCTCTGTGTCAAATAAATAAATAAAATCTTTTAAAAATAAAAATAAACAAAACAAATGAAGATCTGACATGATTTCAGGGAGCAGAATAATAGGACGGTGTTCAAGCCAAAAAACCAGTTAACCGAAATGCACGTACCAAAAATAGACTGGTGAGCACAGTAGGAGAGGAACACTGGGGTTAGACAGGTATTTTCCGTGTTTGTCAAACCTTCTACCTGCCTTCCCTGTGGCTCTGTTTTTGTCCTGTTTTGTCCTCCGTCTGCCCCGCCGTGTTAGTGCCCTGTCAGGACCCCTGCATATCATTAGGCGGCGCGTGCTACCGGTGAGTCACCACGACATGGTTGACACTTTGGCATAGTGTTCCATCCTGTGTGTGGTCGTGTTGGTAAGCATCTTCTCTTTCCAGGGAGGACTCTGTGATCACTTGAAGCTGGCTCCCAAGCAGTTTTCCCCCTGTTTTTAATGATTTCATTGCACATTTGTCCCCTTTGGCTGTGAGGAACAGTTAATGAGCTTGCCACTGTCCAAGCCTGCCCGCCTTCCCAGTTAATCAAGGGGGATTAGGGATGTGATCGTAACTGAAAAGTGGCAGAAAACTAACATGAAGTCACCTCTGCAATGTAACTGGGTGGATTTCTGAACATACAGAATTTCACAACAGGTGGCTGTTTGTGCTTCCACAGGACTCTCTGGGCTCAGTAAGCTCCGTAACCATGAGGAAGTGAATGTTGCTTTCACGCCCCTGGCTCCTGAAGGACTCAAGGGGTCCAGATCCCAGCCCACTCTTGGCTGTGTGTGGTGAAGCCCCCAGGGTGGGACAGACCCCGGTGGCCAGCATAGATTTCCTGAGCCAGGACCTCTGGGTGCTCCACACTCTTCTAAGCGTGGACATCATTGGTTTTGAATTGCATTTTGTACCGGTTCTCAAACACGAGGGAGGTTCTGTGTGGCCAGTGGAGGGCCAGGGAGGACAGAGGTCCCAGTCAGAGACTTGGAGAAGTTCTTTTAGTTTCTGAGTCTCAGCTTTCTGTTTTCGAAAGGAAATCTTACCTACCTCATGGAAAAGTCATGAGGGTTAAACAGGGAAACTTCTGTTATGTGCCTGGTACAGAGTGCTTCCTAGGGCATGTTCAGTACGTGCTACTTGCTGCCCCTTCCTTCTTGTGTGACCCTTCCCATGTCATCTGACCCCACATCCTGGGGATGGGGTGTGGGGTAGTGACTATCAGAAGATTCATAGTGCTGATACATAGGGTGATTTAGACCGTAGGGCTGAATTTCTGATGCTGGCATTTTCTCCCCAAATCCAGAAAGTGTGGTCCCTATGTCCTAATGGAAGGAAGTCACAAGTGTGGATGTTGAGCTGGGGAGGGGCCTTGTGGGCAGGCAGGAGGCCCACGTGATGGGAGTGTGGAGCAAGGGGGCTCACGCTGGGATCACAAAGGAGTGTGGCTAAGGGTGATGGAGCCCCCAGTGGCTGTGCAGAGAGGGGGGTGCCGGGACCTGGCCCTGTTCTGGCTGTGTATGGTGGACAGGGGTAGAGGGCTACGAACGGTCTCCCAGGAGACTGTGGGAAGCTGGTCCACACTCCAGGGATGAGGAGAATTGGAGAAAGTGGCCAGAGTCCCCACTCTCAGCACCCTGGGCCTGCACACACCATTCTGCCACCTCGTTCATGCCTCCCGGGAGCAGGGCACTGAGCTGAGTCTTGCATGTGGACCTAAACAAAGACCACCCAAATGGGGATAGGCAGATGCTGCTTGTTCAGAGCTTGCTGTGGCAAGGGAGGCAGGCCCCTCACTGGTGTTTTGGCAGAGACCCACTGGCAGGTGTTGGGTGTGCCCTGACTGGAGGCTGGGGGCCGGTTACCTCGAAGCAGGACAGCTTTCTGTGGTTGGTCCTAAGTTGGAAGCAGGAACCAAAAACTAGGGAAGCCGTCAGTTACAAAGCAGGTCCTGGTCATCATGCACCAGTTACCACGCGGGTTATCATCGGGCTTCTGGGACTCGTTGCTAGAGGTAGTGGTCTGACTTTCTAGAAGGCTGGCTTCTAGGTGGTGGGCTGGCTTCCAGGGCTGGTTACTGTAGATGAGGGGTTGCTTCTCTGGGCTGGTGGCTGCAGATGGTGGGTCAGAGTCCTGTTCTTATTTGTGGTCTGTTCCTGGTCTGTATACTTCTTTTTCTTGCACTTTGCTTAATGCGCTTTCTACATGTTTTTTTTTGTTTTTTTTTTTTTACAAATCAAAGGTTTGTGGCAACCCCACAGCAAGCAAGTCTGTTGGTGCTTTTTTCCCAGCAGCATACTTCTGTCTCTGTGTCACATTGTGGTCATTCTTGGCACTATTTCAAATGTTTTCATTATATTTGTTACAGTGATCTGGGATCCTGTTGATTACAACTTGCTGACAACTCAGATGATGCTAAGCATTTTTAGCAATCATGTATTTTTAAATGAAGGTATGTGCATTGTTTTTTTAGACATAGTGCCATTCCATATTTAGTAGATGACAGCGTAGCGTAAGTGTAACTTTTATATGCACTGGGAAGCCAAAAAATTCACTTGACTAGCTTTACTGTGATGCTGCTTGATTGTGGTGGTTTGGGATGAAGCCCGTGTTACCTCTGAGGTATGTCTGTATTCAGAAGAATGAGTGTGACACAGTCTGTTCCTTTGAGTTATTCACAGCTCAGCCCACAGCCTCTTATCTGGTGGGTCAGGGAACAGAGTGGCCCCATTAGTCATCGTGTCTCTTTATGGCAGGGTCCCAGCCCACATCAGAATTTGAAAACCGGGGACAGTCAGTGGTATCTAGCTGACGGGCACAGTTTGTTTGCCCTATAGTGTTTTAAAAACTCATGACCACGTTAAAAAACCAACCAACCGGGAGATTTCTCATAAAAATCAGAAGATTGGGCATGTGGCTGAAGCAGAGTAGTCCTGCTGCTCTTGGTGGGACATGTGTCCTCCACATCACCCACTGCATCCGCTCTTGTCCCCATCTGGGCTTCTGCCTGGCCTCTGTGGGCATCCGATTCTGTCAGGACCAACAAGCTGGGCTCAGCTGAAACCCGGAGAGGAGGGAGCTTACGCACCAGGGATAGAGCCAAGCCAGTTTGCTTTTAGCGGGTGGGCAGTCAGTCCCCACAGAGCCCCTTCATCTGCCCCGGAGGTTCCTGGGGTGGTGGGAATGGAGGCCGCCTCTGGTCTCAACGGTGGGTGGCCCACCTGTGTTCAAAGGCTGAGATGCAGTGAAATGCAATTAATAGCATCAACAGTCAAGTTCTGCTGAAAGTGGCTCAGGTTTCTGATGACTTACGTTGTAGTTCAGGGTGCCGCCTGCCCTAGCACCTTAGTGACAAAGAGGCAGCACCGTTCAGTTGCTGACTGGAGCACTGACCCACAGAGCTCTGGTGAGGGGCCTGGCCGATGGGTCAAAGAGCAGACTTTCTAACTAAAGTTAGATTAAAAAAAAAAAAAGATCTCTGTGTACTTGGAAACAGCTCTCTAAGCAGATTTAAGAACAGTCCATCACTGGGCGCCTAGGCGGCTCAGTCGGTTAAGCGGCTGCCTTCGGCTCGGGTCGTGACCCCAGCGTCCTGGGGTTGAGTCTCATGTCGGGCTCCCTGCTCAGCAGGGAGTCTGCTTCTCTCTCTCTCTCCCTCTGCCTCCTCCTCCCTGCTCTGTCTCTCACTCTTTGTGTAAGATAAATAAATAAAATCTTCAAAAAAAAAAAGAACAGCCCGTTGTTCAAAGACCGTCCATGCCCCCAGCCCCCTCTGTACCATCAGAGGCCTGAGCTCATCTATCTTGTCATGGGGCACTGCCATTTTTCTCTTTTTGGATTCAGAAACTTGAGGGTGAAGGCATCAGGTCACATTGTTGGTGAGGATTGAGATACCTTTTTTTTACCCTTAAACGGGAAAAGTCAAACAAAAAAAGTAGACTAATACAATGAAGCCCATCGCCCAGCTAAAATGGCAACTCATAACTAATCTTGTTTTATCTACACATCTGCTACGTACTTAACCCTTATTATTTTGAAGTAATTCTCATGACATTGTTAAGTATCTAAGCAAAACTTTATTTGAATGAATGCTCAAGTCCTTTTGTCACTGTACCAAAAACTAAAGGCCAGCCCTTGGATTGCCAATCTGTAGTCTGTCCCTCGCTGGCCCTGGTTTCTTGGGTAAGCCCTTAAGCTCCGTGACCCTTGGTGTTCTCTGTGGAAGCGCCCAGACCCTGCTGTATCCGGCTTGCCTCGGTGGTTGTTCACGAGGCTCTGATGAGATCACGAGGGGGTGGAAGCGGGGTACACGGTGCACTGCTACACAGATAAAAGAATTACTTATTGAACGTACTGGCCACGTGAAAGACCGCCCCCTCCCTCCCTGCTCTTCCAGCGCCCTCGACTGGCCAGACTTTGGAAGTGGCATCATTGTCCGTTCCCGTCTTTCTTACACGCCCCGGAGTGTCCAGAGTCCTTTTCCCAGGCAGATGGGAAGGTCACAGGCTGAGATGTGACCCCTTATACAGCCTGTCTGGCCCTGTGTCCCTGCCCACCAGCCTTTCCCAGCCCCCGGTGTGCCCCAGCGCCCATGCCTGACCCGGGGCCTGGCCTGCCCCCTCCCCAGCGCCACATTCAGGGGGACCACCCCCAGCCGGCCCATCAGGTGAGGGGCCTGTCACAGGGCGAGTTGGCCCACAAGTGGTTTGGTCCCTTGGGGTCTTATTTTTTGCTGTTATTTCCTCTGCCTAAAAATAGCATTTTCTATCTATAGTTGCCTAGTTTGGAACAAAACTATTTGTTGCTCAGAAGTTAGGGCAGCAGACTTCCTGACCGCCTGCCGCCCAAGTGTGCGGTGAACCCCCGGTTCCACTAGCCTCCTGAAAAGCAGGGACCCTGATTAGCAAGAAGAGGTTTAATTGAATTTTAAGAGAAAAGGAGAGAATAGATACAAAAGTAGCCAGAAAAAGCAGTCTCTCAAAATGAAGCAGCCCGGCTTGTCAGAGAACGGTGGCCCCTTTTGTGTGGTGCCGCCTGGGGACTACCCGGAGTTCCCGTTCTTGAACTGTCCCATTGGAAGGGCATTTCCTACTAAAGAAAGAGCTCTTTTGTCCTCTCCTGGGCCTTGGCCTTTCGGCCCCTCACATGGCAGGGTGTGTGTTCCCAGAGAAGGCTTGCTCTGCTCTGCTGAGGCCCTGTGGCTTCGTGCTCGGGATGTGGGGTCAGGCCGGCCTGGGAGCCCTTGCTGAGTGATGGGGACTCTCTCCAAGCCTCTTGCATATCAAGATGTTATTCGTGACTCGAATTCTGGAGCCCTTCTGGTAGTGATGACGTGAAGCAAGCGAGTGAGCAGTGCCCAGCACACACTCCGGTGAATTACAGCCACATGTTTGTAGGCTCGCTGTTTGTAGCTCATCTAGAGCAACTTTGCCCCAGCCCACAAGGAAGGCCCAGGGACACCCTGTTCCCATGAAGAGAGGACCCAGGGGCCTCGTAAGATCCATAGACCTCTGCTTGGTTCGGACGTGGTGCCACGTACCAGTTTCAGGAGTTACCTGCTCTCTGAGAAGAGACGGTGGTGGGGGGTCTGGGGCCTTGCTCGTCACTTCTTGGAGCTGGTCCTCCCATGATGCTGACTGCAGGTCCGTGGTGTTGAGGGACCCAGCCTCTGATCCAGCTCAACCTGCAAAAAAATCTGGTAACTTTGATACTTAGCTGAAGCCTGTCTTTTTTCTCAATGGGTTTGCAATTCTGAAGGGAGGAGTGATGTTATTAATTAATTCTCTTAAGTCGTCAACATGGCAGGACTAAGGCTGGAAATAATTGCTTCAGAAGTGCGTGGTTCAGCCTTTTATCTTAGGCACTTTATCATGACCATGGCCTTATAGGATATTGGGGCCCAAGGGATCCTCTAACTGTCCTTTGGCCCAGGGTGTTTATACAGATCTGCAGCCTGGAGCTTCTAGGCTTCAGGAGCAGGGCAGGGCGTGGGGGCATGGCCGTGCAAATAGCTCCTTGGAGGACTGGAAGTCGGGAAGCACCAGTCCCGTGTACCCGTGACACTTGATGGGCCCGTCGGGGAGCTTGGTAGCAAGCAAGCGACCCAGTTCTGGCCGAGCTTAAAAGAACCATGTTGGAAGGGCGCTGGGGACAGGGACACACAGAACTGGTTGACAGCCAGGGGCCAGACTGGTGAATGGGCAGGACCCAGAGGGCACCAGGACACAGGACGACCTTCCGGCCAAAGCCATCTTCCCACCTTCCCACCTCCTGGTGGCCGAGCTGGAACCACCTCGAGCTCTCCTTTTTGTCCCTTCCTAGATTGAGAGTGTCCATCTGATAGGCTGAGCACGGGGTCTGGGGCCACTCCTCCTGATCTCAGTTCTGGTCCCGTCAGCTTACTGCCTTCCGATTCTCTGGAAAAGGGTACCTGGAATTATTCTTCTCCCCAGATCACACTTTTAGGGGAAAGACAATTAAAAAAAAAAAAAAAAGAAAAGAAAAAGCTAAGGTCTGGTTAGAGATGGAAATGGCTATTGGCAGTCAAACGTTACCAGATGACCCCAGGAGTGGGGCGGCCAGATCTAGTAACTGGGGCAGCCGGGTGATCGGGGAAGGCAGTGCTTGGGAGCTGCAGGAGGCCAGCACAGGCACCTCCCCTCAGCTGGTCTGGTCGGAGAGGCGTGCCCAGGAGGGGACGTGTCCAGGACGTCGGGGGAGTGGGAGGCTGGGGGGTTGGAGCGAGGGGTGGCCCTAGAAAGAGAGTCAGAGGGATGTGTTCTAGACTCGTGAAGTTGGAAGTGAGGCAGTGGGTGGCCTTCAGGGATGAGAGAAAGGGCGAGACTCACCTGAGGACCCCCAGAGAGGCGGGGTGGGACTGGGCTGGCCCCATGGCACCATGCTGTTGCCCCCAAAACTCAAGTCGGGTGGGGGGTGTTCCTGAACACCAGAGAAGTGTATTCTCTCCATTGAGAAGGAGATAGTATGGCACAGGGAGTGAGAAACACAAACAGTGTCAGCAGCGGGCAGCGATGCGGACATGCCCTTGACATAGGAAGCCGTGTGGTCAGAGACCGAGGAGGCAAGGGAATGTGAGCACTTGAGCAGGTGGCAGGTTCCTGCAGCAATGGCGATAGGAAGTGCGTTTTTTCATTTTTGTTTTGGTCTTTTGGGGTTTTTTGCTGTTGTTCAGTGAAAACATGCATGTTTCTGAAAAATGAGAGTGGACAGCACGCCGGAGGGGTGGGAGAGGGGAAAGCTCAGAGTGGCTATTAGCTCATCTCCATGCAGGCGAGGTATCTGGAAAGTCCACCCTATTGCAGTGTTTGTGATCAGCCCACAGGGTACATTTTTCTGAACCATACCCAAGAGTGGCCTTTTCGGTGGAAAATGTGCATTATCACTTTCGGAGGGAGGTGGGACTTGCCATTGTGTCATATTGGGTGGACGGAGAAGCTCCTGCCCACGAAGGGCCCTGTCACCCCCCCCCCCCCCCCCCCCCCCCCGCTCCAGGCAGTGAGAGGCGGCCCTGAAGGCCCGACTGCCATGCAGCCAGCTTCCCAGGGTCGGGTGCGCTGCGGCAGAAAGGGCTGCCCGCCCGCCGAGAAGCTTCCTGGCCACACTGCCTAAGCCCAGGCCCCCACGCAGTGCACACCGTCCATGTGGAAGAGGAAGGAGGGCAGAGGCCGCAGAGAACATTTCGTGGAAAAAAGTGCTATTTGAGTTGCCTTCTGTAGGCAGAAGTGGGGGTGAAGAGGAGGGAGGCGTTTCGGAAAGGGACAGGAAGTACCATTTGGGTCCGCCTCTGCTCGCGCAGCTGGGGCCGTATTCCATCGTCCTGTCCTCGTGGTTTGTCCCACGTCCATGCACCACCTATTTATTACTACTGACTGCTTATTTAAAGGGTTTTTTTTTTTTTTACTTAAATAAGTTTACTTAAAGAGGAAGATTTGATCCCTGCTGTGATTTGCATGTTAGTATGATTGTCCTGGTCTTTGTCATTAGCTTTTCTGGGGCCCCCTCTGCCCGGGTCAGAACTGTCCCTTGCATGGCCCACATGGCTGGGACCTTCACTGCCACCAGCGTGACCAGTCATTTTTTTATAACCTTCAACAATCCTTAGGTACACAAGGAGCTTAGAAATCTCTCTCTCTGTAGGAAGTCAAACACAGATAAGTGCCCTGGGCTTGACCCCCTCATCTGCGTCTCCCTCCTAGCAGTGGCCTCGGCCATCAGCTTCATGGGTATCCTTCCAGGCCTTTTTCCTGTGGTATTTCATTAGTTCTATCGTTGTTTTAACATAAGTGGTATCACATTGTTTGTATGCTGGCTTTTTCTCCTCATAAATCTGTTGAAATTATTTTAATAAGTTAAAACAGTAATAAATACTTTTTCTTTAAAAAAGTATCACAGTACACAAAAGGGTAATTCCAAGACACAGAGCTGACCATGTCCTTTCTCTGCTTCCGAGTCTGAAAGGCTCCCCGTTGCCACCCTCTGCTGGGCGGCAGGGCCCTGCACATGGGACTCCTGCCTCCCGCTGCAGCCTCCCTGGCCCCTGGACCTCTCTGTCCCCAGTTTCCCTGCAGCACGGGGATGGTGATCCCTCCCCGGGTTCTGTACATACCCCTCATCTATGGACTGGCGGCCCGAGGACAGTGGAGGGGGCTTTCTTGTGCAGCCCCGGGCAGCGTGGAGGCGGGACAGCATACAGGTCGGAGCCCGGGCCGTGGCTGTGCTGCTGGGCTCCCCGCTGCTGAGCCCGGGGGTGCAGTGCGGGCGTGTCAGCCCCCGTGCACCTGGGCCTGGCCGCCGAGCTGGAGGAGGACGCCGGTGCCTGCCTCGGAAGGCTGCTGGCACGATGGCCTAATGACTGGAAAGTGCTTGGTGCAGGGCCTCTCCCGGGGCGGGGGGGCGGGCGGGTGGCAGCGTTGCGCTGTGAGTTGGTACTCTTACCCTGGGCTGGTTGTTGTTAGTCTTCACCGCTGCCACCCCGCCCCTGGGGCCCAGCACATGGGCTGGCACGGGAGTATTCAGTATGTGTCTGGATGCGGATAAAGGGAAGAGGGTATAGAGACAGACCCGGCACAGGTGAGGCTGCACAGGGACAGGCTCCTTGTGGGGAAGTGTGCGGAGAGGGGCATAGTGGGCGGCGGGGGGCGGCCAGCAGGTGGGGGCTTCCAGCAAGGACGGGAAGAGCTGGGCAGGCTCAGACACGATTTCGCCCGCCTTCCTGCTCACAGCACCTCCCCTGTCTGCATACTCGAGGAAGGAAGAAGCCACACGATTGGCATTGACCCAAGAGGGCTGGGCCTTCACCTACTCCCGGCCTTGCTGTCACAGGCTCAGGTGGATGTAATGACTTCTTGATGCCTCCCCCGCTCCCGCCTTGGCCCGTTTCTCTCCAGGCACTGCCACCGTGGAGGAGCTGGAGGACTTTATCAACAACATTAACAGTGTCTTGGAGTCCTTGTATATTGAGATAAAGAAAGGAGCCACCGAAGACGACGGGAGACCCATTTACGCGCTGGTGAGTGCACGCGGCGCCCTCTCGCGGCGTCTATGCGGAACTGCGGTGGGTGGAGGCACCCCCGCCCCAGCAGCCCTGCAGTGGAGACACAGACCCAGCCCAGTGTGGCCGCCCTGCCCGCCTGGGGCCACCGGCGCCACTGTCAGTGTCCTGTGCCATGATCAGGGCTGGGGCTGTCACCCCGATGCTCACTTCACTGCCCCAACCGAGCCCCTGCCTGAGACAGGTTGTGTTTGTTGACAGTTCAACGCAAGAAGTCCCCTCAAATGTGTGCGGTACTAGGATTAAAGGGAGGAAAGTGGTTTTTCATTTAGAATAAGGCATGGACGCTGAGAGAAGAATGTGTGGCGCGCTGGGACTGAGAGCCATCTGGGCCTCCTGTTGGGCTCCGGTGTCCCTCCTGGCCAGCAAGCGAGGGGAGAAACAGGCGGGCAGAGCAGACAAGGCCCCCGCCTGGGCCAGGGCACTGCCGCAGGCCCATCCAAGGAGGCCGGGCTCCCACCAGCCAGGCCCACCCAGTGAGGGGCGCTGGCCAGGGACTCCCACACTCTTCCAGGGCAAAAGGGCTGTGGCATCAAATAACTGTGGAAATGCTGGGTTAAATCAGTAAATCGGGTTTGTTTACTGCTGGACTTCTCAGTGCCTTTTGCTTGTGAAGCTCCATTAGGCATGCAGACAAGTTCCCCAAATGTATCTGGGTTTGGAAGATACTCCACCACCTTTGGAGTTCTAAGAATCTCTGAGAATCAGACATGCTGACTGAGCTAGAGATTGAAGTCTAACGTAGGACTGGTCACAGATCCAGCCCTGTGGCCGGCAGCGCCTGGACACTGGCGCTCAGTGACCAGGGAGGGGCCCAGCCTGACTGCCACACTGACCTCTTTTGTAGGTGAATCTGGCGACTACTTCTGTTTCCAAAATGGCCTCAGATTTTGCAGAGAATGAGCTGGATCTGTTCAGAAAGGCTGTAAGTACAGTAGCTCCTGTTTATCGGCCGGGCTTCTTATGGGAAACCTGCTGTCTTCCATCATTAGAAATGGAAACTGTGATCTTGGAGGGTCACCACTGCTGCCCCAGGTGGCCACGTGCAGGGGGGGGCCACTGGGCAGCTCACCACCACCAGGTGATGACGGGAGGGCACCATGGCTGCTCAGGAAGGAAGAGCTTCTTTAGGTTTGCACCAGGCCTCTGGGTGTGTGATGCAGGTGAACAGGTGTTATTGCCTGGTGCTCACAGCACGATCCACACCCGCAGCAGCAGCACCAGGGAGCTTGCTAGAAAGGCCGAATCCCAGTCCCCAGTCCACCCCCCCCCCCCCCGCCCAGACCGTTGAATCCAGGTCTGCGTTTTAACGAGGTGTCCCGACGGCACATTTCACGTTTGAGAGGCACTGCTCTGCCTCCCCGGCATCAGAGCTGTTGGCTCAGCCCTCCTGTCACTCACCTGGCTGAGCACCTGGTCCTGACAGTGGTTCTCAGCCCTGGGTGCACCTTTTAATAACCGGGAGGTAAAAACAGTTGAGATAGTCTGTCCTCACCCAGATCTGGTGAATCCAAGTCTCTGGTGACTAGTCCTAGAATCATTCCTTTCTGAGCCTCCTCTGGTAACAGTTGGCCCCCGAGCGTGCTGCTTCCTGGCCCACCCTGGCTTTGCTGTCCTGTCCTTCCTGCTTCCAGCTTGCCCCTCACCCCCGATGTCCTGCCCACATGTGAGTAGGAGGGTGCTACCTCTGTTCATTCATTCCTCAGCTTCTCTACCTTCAGGGAGGTGGGGGCGAGAGAGAGGATTCTTGATTTGGGGGCATTAAGGTTATTCATTTGGCAGGTCACAGGGTGAGCGCTGAGTCAGAAGGGCTGGCCGTGGTTATGGCTTTTGGTGCTGGTTATG